AAAATTATTAATTAATTAGAATATGTGAAGTTGACCAATTTTAATTTTATTCATATTAATGGTTATTTTAAATCATAAGTTAATGTAGGTTTTTTCTAGATTTTTTTAACAAATCCAAAATTTACAATATATATATATATATGAGTTAAATGCAAATTTGGTCCCTATACTTTATATAAATTAATGAGTAAGGCCCCTAAAATTTCTTTTTAACGAATAGCATCCCTATGGTATCATTCTTATAACATATATGGCCCCTCATAATAATGTCGTAAATTAGAGTGGTGTTAGTGAGGGGTAGTTTAGTCCATTAACTCTTTCTTTCCATCTAGTTTTATTTTCATTTTACATGTTTATTATCTAGTATTATCGAACATAATTTGTTCATCAACTACCTTATCAACTAGTTTGCCAAACATAGCCTAAGTTTTACATAGATAAAGCTATCTATAAGGATTAATCTGATTGTATAGATCGAAAAGATTTTTATTTGAGAGAATTTCTTTATTAATTAAATGAAGTTGTTCTTTAACTAGGACAAACATTTTTGAAGGAAAAAACTGACTTTCTGCATAAAGCTCACTGCCTCACTCTAGAAGCTTATTGAAATAAGTCAAATTTTATATCATCAACTTACTACCAAACAGTTATATATAAATGATCGAATAAACTATAAATTATAAACTAATTAAACTGCTAACAAACAATCCCTAAATATTATATATCCATAGTTTTTTGATCCTAAAATAAAATATCTAAGGTTAATTTTGGTTTGATTAAATGTAAAAATATAGTTTATAATTTTATACATAATCACATGAAGAGTGTTGTATATGGCTAAAACTGGTGGGGGTGGAATTGTGAGATTGGTACAAAAATGATTAAATGTACATGAGCATGTCCAAAGATTGGGGAACACAAACCATGCTTCCTACTTTCATGCTCTCTCTTTCTTTCTTACATTTTTATAACACATTATTAAAATTGATATATTTTATTATTATCAACTTATAATTCATCTCCATTTTAAATGACTAGAATGGTACTCGTGTAATACAACGAGATATATCTCAATCTATGTTTCATTTTATTTTTTTCGATGTTATAATACGAATTTATGTGGTTTTGAGCAAACAATAATGTTTTTTCTTAATAAAATGTAAATTTAAACTCATAAAAATATATAGAAGTTCTCATTTTTTTGTATAATTTCTTTAATTCAAATTTTTTATTATAATTTATTGTAGGTTTAATGACGCAGTAATTTATTTTTGGTTTAATAATATAATTTTTATGAAGATAATAACTAAATATTCTGTTATAACTCTATAACTATCCTAATTATATTTCATACTTTATATTTAAAATAAGAATTTTATCGTGTATTTAATTATATTTATCTACAGTTAGTTCCACGAATTCAAACATGAAGTTTAATACGTTGTACTTACATATAATTTACTTATAATCTTGAATTTTAAGTAATATACATCAATAAACAGTACTTCATGTATAAAAGATAATTTTTAATAGTTTTTATCAAATATTTTATAATATAGTATAGATTAATGAGAATTACAACTTCAATCTCTTAATGCATTTTGTTATTATCATTCAAATAATTGATAATCAAACATTTAAAAAAAAGTAATCAATATTTATTAATACATTTTCTTAAAAAAGTTTTAATTACTAGAAAATATCATATAGCTTTTGAGTTTCCACCGCAGCCTTATTGGATTTATTCATTATTGGGTGTCCTTCGCTACTTTGGAATATTTAAAATAGCTTCTTTTTTCTCCTTTTTCTTTTTTGACATTTAAAGTTCTTTAAGATTAATATCATTTTGGGTTATATATATATTTTTTGTATTTATTTGAGTTTAATTATTGAAGGATTATTAACAAGATTGGATCTAAAGCTTAGTTCAATTATAAAAGTAAGTCAATAATTGAAGAGTGACGTCAAAATCTATTTTTCAAAGATAAATATTATATCTAATTTATTAAGTTTAATAAATAAAAAATTATTGAAAATCCAACGCAATAATAAATATACTAGAAGAGTACTCGCGCAATGCAGCGAGATACATCGTGTTTTTAATATTTCATTTTATTCTTTATCTCAG